TGACGTCACCCCCCTCGCCGAGGGTACCTCCCGCCGCTCACCCCCCCTCGGAACTCATGGGTTAGAATCGGCCTATATGCCCTATTGATGTAGATTACAAAAGTTTTATAGCTCGTATGGACCAAATGATACTGCACCACTCACCGCATAATGTGCACAAACAATACTGGCTTTACAGAACCGAGATTGAAAGCTCTTAGAAAAAAATATATTAATTAATCTCTAAATCACACAAATTTGCTTGTTAACGAAGATTCGGTCTGATAAACAGACCAGGAATTGTGTGTAATAGTAGTTGCTCGATTTTCTGGAAGATGACGTTGCACTCAGATAGGGCCCCGCTGATCTGAATGCGTTCGGAAAGAAACAATAGATCTGTTACGATAAACTTTCTGAACTTATTGCACCGTGTGCAACAATTCTGAGAATTCATCGATAAAGAACAAACTATTGTCAGATTTGTCAGTACTTGTACATGTTCTTATCTGATGCTGAACAAACATAAATTACGTTTACACGGTTCGATTTACGTCGAAGTTATAACATCGATGTTATGAAACTGATCAATCATAGCTATTACTCTGAACCATAGAATGACTGTGATTGGCCAGTTTCATGTATCAATGTATAACTTCGGCATAATGCTGAATTCACACTGCACCCGATGTGCGTCGTACGACGCCCTCCAACCAATCAGAAAACAGGATTCCGATGAATTTTGCTTCATATTATCGGAATCCTGCTTTCTGATTGATTGCAGAGCGTCATACGACGCAAATCGGACGCTGTGTGAATCCAGCATAACCGAGCCGTATAAACGTTGTTATACAGAGAAATAGATGAACGGTATAAGAAGTTAGTTAAAAAGGATAAATGATATATCATTCGTTTTTACCAATGATCAAAAGTTTACAAAAATTTTTTTTTTAAATATTCATGCGAAGTACGTACAAGGACTGTTTGATAAGTACCTGTGTTTGACGACTGAGGGCGCCTCTGACTAAAAGTCTGTATACCATCGTGTAACGCCATTTCTTGAACGATGCAAGTAAAAATTTCAGACAGTTGTGCCGGTTAGTTTAGTTTTTATAACAATTGAAAGTTGACGAGTTTGTGCTTGTTTGCAATCATGGAAAAAGAAAGAGCAATATCGGTCTGTGATTCGATTCCTGTTTTTGGATGGGAAGACGTGTGAAGAAATAAAAAAAAAGTTGCATGCCATATATAAGGACAACGCATCTTCGATGACTACCATAAGATATTGGTACAACGAATTTAAGCGTGGCCGAACATCCATTTTTGATGAAGAGTGCCCAGGTCGTCCGATTGAGATGACTACGGAGGATACGGTCAACAAAATCCATGATATTGTGTTAGCAGACCGCCGGGTGAAGATCAGAGAGATTGCTAACATTGTAAAGATCTCAACTGAACGCATACATAATGTTCTACACGAAATATTGGGCATGAAAAAGCTATCGGCGAGATGGGTGCCGCGTTTGCTCACATTGGAACAAAAACGGAATCGCATGACAACTTCAAAACACTGTTTGGACATGTTTAAGCGCAATCCGAAAGAGTTTCTGCGGCGTTTCATCACTGTTGACGAAACATGGATCCACCATTACACACCAGAAACGAAAGAACAGTCTAAACAGTGGACTAAATTCGGCGAATCTGCTCCAAAGAAGGCAAAAACGGTTCCATCGGCCGGAAAGATCATGGCCACCGTTTTTTGGGATTCGCGAGGCATCATTTTCACCGACTATTTGGAGAAGGGAAGAACAATCACGAGACAGTACTATGATGATTTATTGGACCGATTCGACGCTGAATTAAAGAAAAAACGGCCTAAATTAGCGAAAAAAAGTGCTCTTTCACCATGATAACGTACCAGCTCATTCGTCCGCAATCGCCATGGTAAAACTGGTCGAATTACGCTACGAATTGTTGTCTCATCCACCTTATTCTCTAGATTTGGCCCCCTGCGATTTCTATTTATTTCTAAACATGAAAAAATGGCTTGGCAGAAAGCGCTTTGCATCAACTGAGGAAGTCATCGCCGAAACAGAGGCCTATTTTAAGGAGTTTGACCAATCATATATTTTAAACGGTATAAAAATGTTGGAATATCGCTGGACTAAATGTATCGAGTTGAAAGGAGATTATGTAGAGAAATAAAAAAAAAAAATTTTTTTTAAAAGTGTTTTCTTCCCTAACACGGGTATTTATCAAACAGCCCTCGTACGTGCTGACCCTGTAAAGTGAATAAAAATCAATATGTATTCTAGCCACGCGTAAAATCTGCTCGATCACGTTTGCTGCTCAATATTACTAATTAGATATCATATAGCACATGAATACTTTATATTTTAAA